CGCCCTCCGAGGCCCTGCTCTGAAGGACCCACGGGGGCTCCTGACGTTCTGGACACGAGAGAGCTTTGGTGGCAAGAGGAAACCCGTCCCTGGTCCTCTCGTGGGTTCCTCCCTGACTGTTGCTGTCCTGGGCCCTGGGAGCCTCCGGTCCCTGGTGGGGTCCCTGCACATCGGTCCTTGGCAGGGGGACAGTCAGGCCTGGCTCGGCCACCAGCAGGTGTTTATGCCCAGCCGGAGGTCAGAGCTGGCCCGAGCGGGCAGTGAGGCCCGCCAGCGCCCTCGTCCCCTGCACACCTGGTGGGACAAGCGGCTTGGGCTCACTTACAACCGGGGCTGGTTTACCTCAGTAAGCCCTGCAGTGGGGGCCGCTCCCAAGGCCCGCTTTCCCAGGGCTCAGAGCCCACCAGCCAGGGCAGGCCGGGCAGGATGGCTCCCACCTTCTTCTCTGTCCCTGCCCTGTGAGTCTCGAGGTGTCTGAACCCACAGGCGGGGGCAAGTCTCCTTGAACTTCATTCCACATGTATCCACCTGCTCTGAGCAGGATGTGCGGCCCCGTCAGCGGGGGCGGGCCCCCCTGCTGCCCTCAGAGCCTCAGGAGCCAGGGTGTTGGGAGGGGCCGGCAGGGCCTGGGGAGGGTGTAGGCCTGGGGGCCCCGGGAGCCGGGTGGACTGAGATAGACACCAGATCTGGGCTGGCCGTGCGCTTGCTGGCTCGGCACTTACTGCCTATGGGAGGGCATTGGGGTCCCGACCATAAACTAGAACCCTGAGTGGAACAGAGTGACCTTGGAGCTCTGAAGTGCATCTGCCCGGAGCTGGCTGCTAGAGGGGACCCAGATGGGCCACAGACGGTATCTGAGCTCCAAATGGCCGGTGTGGCCCGCCATGGGCGGGGCCAGCCGGCTGCCTGCCCTCTGACCCCTGCCCCGAGCGTGGGCACAGCTTGGATGAGATGCTGTGTGTTCCCGCCAGGCTGGGTGGGACTCAGCTCCCCCCGGCAGGTGCGGATGGACGGGCTCGACAAGCTTGTTGAGCGATAGCTTCGGTGCGTCCGCGGTGGGTTCCGGGGGCTCAGCGGCAGATGGCCGCGCCTGAGTCCTGGCGGGCAGTGGGTCCGTACCCACACGTTCGGGTCGTGGCCTGAATTCCGTGGCTGACCCCCAAAACAGACAGGCAGGGCCGAGTGGAGGGCCGGCTGCCGCCCAGGCCGGGCTGATTGTTCTCCGTGACACTGAGCGTCCTCGCCATGTGCGGTGGCCACTCCTTTGACACCTGATCTCCGTGCTCAGCCGTGTGAGCTGCTGGCGGGATCCAGCGTGTGGGGTATGAGCGGCATCGGGAGTTTCAGGACACTGTCCCCGCTGAGCCGCAAAGCACCTCGCGTCTCTCTGCGCCTCTGTTTGGGGCCCGTCTGCCGACGCGCTGGGACCCTGTGCCCCTGGACCCACCCCTTCCGGCCCCTTGTGAGACCTGCTGTTTGCAGGTGTCGACACAGGGTGCCGGGGCCCAGGTCTGGGTCTGTGCACGGAGAGGTGGAGCCCCAGGCGACGGGGGCTGGCCAGGGTTGACGTGTCTGTGGGTCAGCCCGAATTGGGGGATGGAAAGTAAGATGGGGAACCTGGAAGAGGGGCGGCCAGGGCAGCCGAGGGAAGGGGGTGGACGCACGGAGAGGCACCGGTCTGGGCGCTGCAGGGGAACCCCGAGTCTGGTCAGCTGGTGATAAGTTAATGAGCCGGGGGCACCCCTCTCCGGAAGACAGCCAGCCATGAAGGGTACGCACCCCCAGATCGTTGCAAGCCGGGCATTTCTGGGTTCTCAGAAGGGGAGTTTTGTTTCCTTCTTTTCGTAGGTCGGATGGGGTCCCCAAGAGCTTCACTCGGGTCCTCACCTCCTGTGAGTGTGGCCTCGTCGGGCAGTGGGGTCTCTGCAGCTGTGCTCACGTTACGATGAGGTCATGCGAACGGGCTTCCGTCCAGGGGGCAGGTGACTCGTGAGAGCAGAGGCACGGAGCACTGCCTGGTGAGGAAGGAGGCGGAGGCCGGCCCGATGCGGTTGCCACCAGGACCCGCCACCCCCGGATGCCGGGAGAGGCAGGAAGGACCGTCCCCGGCAGCCCTCGGGGGCCCCCTGCCCACACCCGCGTGTCAGACGTGCAACCTGCACACAGGGGCGAGTGACAGGCTGCGGTTTGGGCCTCCCTCCCGTCTCCGGTTCCTTCCCAGGCCGGCCCCGGAAGCTGACCCGCCATCAGAGGCACCTGCCGTGGGCTGCGTGTCGGTGTGGAAGCGTGTCCGCCTGGGGGGCCCTGGCAGTCTCGTCATCTGCCGGCACCACCGGTGCCCGGGGCGTGGGCCGCAGCTGTGGCACGTGGGGCGACCGTGCCAGCCTGACCGCCGCTGATTGCTGGGCCATCGGGGTGACGGGCGCTTTGGGTCGCAGAGACCCCGTCGGCCCCCTCGCTGTGGCCCCGAGTCCCGATGTGCCCGGCAGCGTCTCTTGTGGCCCCGGTGCTCGTGCTGGAACACGGGCCGGTTAACGCCTTAGGTGAGGAGTCGCGTGGCTGGCTGGCGCCTCACCTCGCAACTGGGACTCACGGTGTCCAGGAGGGTGGGATCGGTCCCCAGGAGACGGGCCTCTGCCGCCCACAGAGGGAGCCAGATGTGTCTGGAGTCAGGCCGGGCAGCAGTGAGGGGCCGCCCCGGGCCCACCTGCGGAGCTGAAAATGGCTGCAAACCACCGGGCCCCACGGGGCTGTAAGTCCCAGCATCTTGGGGGTCGGCCCAGACGCGTGGCTCCCGGAAGCGCGTCTTTGAGGCTTTGGCCACTGCTGTCGCGAGGAGAGCCTTCTCTCCATCCCGCAGTCTTCTCTCTAACACACTTGTTTACCTACTCATTTCCACTTTTGCCCTGTGCTCCTTGAGGTGCGGAATGTGTCGTCTCATTAGCAAATGGAAGCCGAAGCGTGCAGCTGAAACCTTCCAGGAACACGGGGCTGGGGCGCTGCCCTCGGGTCGGGTTTTGCTCCATGGGGGAGGGGTCCCGGTGGCGGGGGGAGGAGGTGCCCGGGAAGCCCCACCGCCCTGATCCTTCACCCCGCACCCGTGCGACTCCCCCAGGAAACCTCGTGTGCCGTCCGACAGGCTCTGGGTAGTGGGCCTGGGGTCACTGCACACAGCCCTCTGAGTCCGCGGCTGGCGCGTCTGGTGCCTCCCGGTTCTCACGCACACACGGCACCCCCAGGGCTCGAGGGTGTGCTTCCTGCTTTGCAGGAAACCCGGCTCGGGGTTTGGCTGGGGACCTACAGGTGACAAAAAGGCAGGAGCGATGTTGTGCAGTGAGCTGCCTGGAGGGCCCGGGGGACTGCCTGGAGGAGGGGCCCGAGGTGACAGCAGGCACGTGGACAGTGAAGGACAGCAGGGCTGAGAAGCACCACCCAGGAGCCCCCGGGATCCCCCTGCTTTCCCCTGCAGGGTGGGAACCACCCCCACCCCACCTGCCCCACCGGCCCGTCTCCTGGCGGTCGCTTCTTCGCGGTTCCCTTATCCTGTGATCCAGCATGCGGGCCCCGTCCCCACACTGTCCCGTCTCCCGGCCGGGCCCCGCGTGACACGTATCTGTAGGAGCTGGTCCTCCTGGCTCCCCAGGGCGCTGTGCGGTCTGCTTTGCTCACAGCATGGTTGTGGGGCCCAGCGACACCAGCGGCATTCAGTAGGTGCTTACTATTTGCTGAGGGACCGGGAGAGCGAGAACGTGAGTGCGCAGAGCCTCTGGTGGTTCTCCAGAGTGGACACGCGGGTGGAGGCTGCGGCTGGGTGGCCGGGGTGGAGGGGCAGCGGGGGCCCAGCCCAGGGACGCACCGGTGCTGCACCGGCCGAGCTGGGGACGGCCTCCGGTCGGCACGGGGCAAGGTGGCCGGTCTCTGGCTGGATGGCCCTCCGTGCAGAGCTGACACCGTCACGGCGAACATTCTCGGGGACCGGGGGGTGGGGCCGTGCCAGGTTTCACAGAAGTGACAGCCTGCAGAAGGCAGGTTCCCCTCTGCTGGGACGTTGGCGGCACGGGCACCCTTTCCGTGACTCAGGGACCACAGGGGAGGAGGAAGCCACCTCAACTTGTCATCGCCTTCGAAGGAAACCTGTCCCTTCTCTGGACACTTCTGGCCCAGGGGTGGACCAAGGACAGCCCCATGCCCTGGGGTGGCCAGTATTTAGGGATCAGGACAGTGTCCACGTGGGAAAGCAGGAGTGAGGAGTGCATCCAGGTAACCTGTGTGTATCTGTGTGCGCGTGCCTGCACGGGACACGTGTGCAACGTATGAGCGCCGTCTGTGTACCTGGGTGGGCGTCGATGGGTCACACGTGTGCTGTGTGGGCATCTCCCCGTACCCGCCCGTGTGGCTCCTGGCCTTGGCACCTTCACACCTGAGTCCGGCTCGCGTGAACCCGTGTGAGGTGCGTTCTGTGCCCACCTTCCGGGCGTGTGCGGGCGTGTGCGGGCGTGTCTGTGTCTGTGCGTGCACCTGACTGCGTCCTTGTGCAGCGTGCCTGCTCTCAGCCCCGTGCTGACGGGGGGAGGCTCCCCTGCGATGTGGCGGGTGCGCAGCCGTTAACACAGCTGTGAGTGCATCTTGGCCGGCGGAGACCCAGGGGCCGGCGTGGGCTCGGATCTCTGTGCTCTGGGCGGTCTGGCTGCTTCCATCAGAGGCCCGACAGCGAGGCTCGGCCCCTTCATCTCCGGCGTGGCGGACGGGGCCACAGTTAATTTCCTGTCTGCCCAGGCAGGGCCTCGAGCGTCCGCGTGCAGAGGCAGAGGCGGCTGGGCTGACCCGGCGCCAGCCCCATACGGCGTGTTTCTGACGGCGTCCTTTCGCGAGTTTGAGACGGGCGCTCTCGGCGGGCAGCCTGCCTCCCGCGGCCGCCGGGGCCCCTCCGCGGGTGGGAGGGCTGGGACGCTCGGCCCCCCGCCTCGGCCACTCAGCCCACGCCCGTGCCTCTCTTGCAGGTCAGCTGGCCGCCGGCACCTGTGAGATTGTGACCCTGGACCGCGACAGCAGCCAGCCCAGGAGGACGATCGCCCGGCAGACGGCTCGCTGTGCCTGCAGAAAGGGGCAGATCGCGGGCACCACGAGAGCCCGGCCCGCCTGCGTGGACGGTAAGAGCCCTCGGTCGCGACCCCTTCGAAGGCCCGGGCGGCTGGGGTCCAGCGGACACAGCCCGGCCCCCACCACCGGGAACGCCTGTGGAGGCCGCCGGCTGTCTGGGCCTGGCCTCAGGGAGGACGGTCCTGATGGGGCGCTCGGTGCCCGGACGGTGTTGGTGTCTCTGCGTGTGTGGAGTTTGGGGTGCTGCGGGGGGCAGGGAGTCACGGGCCCAGGCGGGGACCGTGGCCCCTCAGTGTCGCTGCGGGCGGAGGGGGGTGCAGGCCGACAGCCCTGGACGCCGTTATATCCCTCACATGTGGTTTCTGGGGGAGGCCACCCACTCAGTGACCCGCGTCAGGACCCCATCCCCCTCGGGCTCCGAGAGCGGGGAGATTGTGAGGCCTCCCCACGGCCAGCGGGCTGTCCGGCCTCTGAGATGTGCCACATTAACATCCTCGCGGGACGAAGGCCCAGGCACCTTGTGTGAGGCAGTACCTTCGGGGATGGTCTTTGAAACAGAATCGCAAATACTCTTAGAAGGAGAGGGGAGCCCTTGCAATGCCCGTCACCCTGGTAGACGGGCCTCTGTGTGAGGTCTGGGGTGAGACCCAGCATCCGCGGGCAGGAGAGCATCGGGGCCGGGCCGGAGCCCCGTGACCGGAGCAGGCGGCCTAGGGGGTGCTCCTGTGGCCAGGCCAATGGCGGCCTTGTGTGTCGGAGCTGCTTGGGATGGGGGGACCCCATGCAGGGTGTTCTGGGGGGGCTGCAGGAGGTGTGGTCACAGCCTGACAAGGTGGTGGGGTCCCAGGGCTCAGCCGTGCCCTTCCTTCCCCGACAGCCTCTGCACGGGGCTCTGGGCACCTCCTCCCCGGTTCGGATCAGCGGCTTCTGTGTGGGAGCCCGCTTCCTGCCCAACCAGGATACTGCGGTAATGACCATTCCCACTGCCCTCGGTGCTCGGGATAGTCACCTGAGGAAGGATGGCCGTGGGAGCCTGGGGCCGGGACACCTGGAGCAGTTGGAGCACCTGAGCTCAAAAGTTCACTGGCAGGGGGTTGGGCCCTCGGGAGTAGGGATGTTACCATCCCCAGGGGTGGGCTTTTGGATGGGCCGGTGGCCCCAGGGGGGTTCCCGGAGCCACAAGGCACCAGGAAGGGGTCAGCAGAGCCATGAGGCCACTTTGGGGGATGGAGACTGACCAGGTGGGGACCTCTGCCCCTGGTGTCACCGGTGAGCCTGTCCCCGGCCTGTCTGGGGCGTGGTGGGGCAGTGAGTCGGCTCGGGAGCTGCAGGCCCGGCCCACCCACGCCTGGTCCCCCTTTGGGGCTGAGCGGGCTGCTTGGGCCTGGCCGGGGGGGCCCGCGGTACGAGGTCCCTGGAGGCCCAGTGGGGCTCCCGGCTGACCCTACCCCAGGGCCCATTTGACTGTCTCCGGCCCCCGTGGCCACGTGCCGCCAGCCCTGAGGGGCTCCTTGGGAACGCGGGGGGCACCTTGGAGAAGGTGGCAGAGGGGCTGACCCTGCCCGTGGGGGGCTGGAGGCAAGTGGGGGCATCTCGAGGACCTGGTGCTCAGAGGGGCTCGTGGTGGGCGCCGGGTTTGTTTTTAAGAACTGTCGTTTGCCATCGGTGCGCGTCCCATAAAAGGCGTGTAATTGAGCGAGCAGGGGGGTACCTGCCCCCTGGGGGCGGCAGTGTCCGTTCTGGAACTCGGTGCAGCCCAGCTCAGGTGCTCGGTGAATTCGGGCCGGGGTGGCCTCCCTGACTCCCAGGGAGCTGCATTTGTACCCTAGCAACCCCCCCCCGCCCGCCCCCGGCTCCCGAAACCAGATCAGACTCCCAGTGACGCACACCTTCTTGCTGACACTCATCGATCCTTCCCAGGGACGGGCGCGGGGCGAGGGGCGTGGGGCGTGGGACGAGGGGCCCCCTCCTCGCCAGCCCCGCGAGCCTGCAGGGAGAGTTGGGGTCCGAAGTGCTTCCTAATCGAATCCGGGTGTGCTCATCTGAAACCACGTTCTCTCCCCTCGCCCACGAGCCTTCCCGCGCCTCAGGGGCCGTGTCCCAGAGACCCGAATTAAAACCTGGCTGCTTCCAGGGCAGGACAGACAAAGTCGTTGGCGTCTTGGTTCTGCACAGTGGGCATTTTCTCTGCGCAATAAGTTTCCTCACGTGTGCGTTGTGGCTGCCGCAGAGAAACCTTGAGCCTCTTCTGTGGGTGGGATCCGGCACGAGCAGGGTCAGTGGGGTGGTCTGTGCTGTCCCTGCTGTGTGGTCGGCAGGGAGCCTGAAGTCCTGGAGCACCCCCGCGTCCGTCCACCTGTTCATTCGTTCGTTCGTTCATTCATTCACGCTCTCGTACGTTCAGATACGGGGTGTGCTCTTGAGTGATTGACGCTTAAGATACTTAATACGTAGAACGTACAGTGCTGTGGGGCTGGGGTCCAGACTGTGGGGCAGGGACTGCGGGACCTCAGAGCACAGCCGTCCCTTCGTGTCCGGGACCTTGGCAAAGTTACTTCCACAAGGGGGCATTTGAGTAGGGTACTGAGGGATGAAGAGGAGCTCGCCAGGGAAGCTTTTCTTCCTGAAAGGAGGGTGCTTGTGGCAGGAGGGGCGACTCCTGGCCATGTCTGCAGGTGCACGTTCTCACGCACAAATACAGGGGATGCGGCTCACCTCGGGGGCCCCCTGGTCGTGGATGCCACGGCCGCGGCTCTGGGAAGCCACGCGATCCCCTGTGCCCCTCAGTGGACACGTGCGGGCCGGGTGCCTCTGCAGGGCTGCCGTGAGGACCGCGGTCCTTCCCATTGACGCAAGGTCTTGCTTTGTAAGTGGAGGCCCTGCCTCCCCTCAGCTGACTTCTCCAGAAACGCTTTGGAAAGGAATCGAAGTAAAGAAAGCAGGTGATGCCGGGGCCGGGTGCAGGCGGTTGGAGCAGAGAGGGCTGTTTCTAAAGCAGCCCTGCCCGCAGCCGGGGTGGGGGGGGGGGCAGAAGGAAAGGTGCCCCTGGGCGTCTGGGGGAGGAGGCAGGCCAGTGTCTGTTGTGAGGCCCGGGGCCCGCCGGTGGAGGAGGAGGGTGACCTGGGCTGTCGGGATGTCTGGAGAGGCTTTGGGGAGTCACGGCTGCCTTCAGCGCATGGTCGGCCGGGCTCTCCCGGAGCCCTGGGGGTGACCCTGGTGGTGACACAGTTCACCGGTGGCACCCGCTGGGAGCCCACCTGCCTTCCAGGTGACCTGGCCCTTCACTCCCGAGCAGGGAATGCACCACGTCATGTGCCTGCACGTGAAGTTCGGAACTTGTAACATGCTCTCCTGTCCATGGGAGCCTGGGACGCCGGAAGCCCCAGGTACGGAGTGGAGACGTCTGGTCTGCGATTCCCTGTGCCCTCACTGTCGGGCGCCGGTGGGCTGGGCCCCCGCCTTCATCCACAGACTGGACATCGGCAGGCTCTGCATGCGAGATACGGCGTGCAAACGGCCTTCCTAAGCTGCTACCTGCTCCACCCAACAGGGAACCACCGCCCCTCCCCCTTTACACTGTGTCCAGCAGCAGGTGGTACCCGGGTCCCGGACGTGGCCTTGAGGGCCTCCGCCGAGGAAGCACAGAGCAGGGACAGGCATCTGGGTGCGTTTGCTTGCGGACGGCCGCTGAGGTTCTGGATGAGGACGGGGTCCTCCGTCGGGGAGGAGGTGAAGGTCCAGGAATGAAGCCTCCCGTATTCTGTCCGCTGGTTGTTGACAAGCGTTTCCAGACCATTCGGCGGGGAAAGCATCGTCTTCTCAACACGTGGCGCCGTGTCCCCTGGAAGCCGCGTGCACGGCCGTGGAGCGGGACCCGCCGTGTACAGAAGTTAACGTGACCCAGATCAGAGGCTGAACCCGTGGACGGCTTACAAGAAGATGGAGGTGAACCTTCGCGATCTGGATTTGGCAAAGGATTCTTAGATCTGACACCAGAGGCACGAGCAAAAAGAGAAAAGAGAAGAGAAAGTAAATGCGACTTCACCAAAACTCTGGTGCTTCCGAGGACACGGTCGAGGAAGTGAAAAGACAGTCCACCAACTGGGAGCAAATATTTGCAAATAACGATCATGGACTTGTCTGCAGAACACACAAAGAACTCCTACGACTAGAGGATGAAAAGACGAACAGCCCAGTTGAGAAAGCGGCAGAGGGTTTGAACAGGTGTATTTTCTTTCTTTTTTTTTTTTTTTAATTTTTTTTCAACGTTTTTTTATTTATTTTTGGGACAGAGAGAGACAGAGCATGAACGGGGGAGGGGCAGAGAGAGAGGGAGACACAGAATCGGAAACAGGCTCCAGGCTCCGAGCCGTCAGCTCAGAGCCCGACGCGGGGCTCGAACTCACGGACCGCGAGATCGTGACCTGGCTGAAGTCGGACGCTTAACCGACTGCGCCACCCAGGCGCCCCAGAACAGGTGTATTTTCAAGGAAGGTATTTGTGCAAACAGCCAGGGAACACGTGGAAAGATGCTCGGTGCTCAGTCACCAGGAAGAGGCACACGGGGGCCATGTGGGAGCTCCGCGGAGTCGGACCGTCACGTGTGTTGGCGAGGATGTGGACAGTCAGAGCCCCCCACGAGGCTGCGGGCGCACAGGTGTGGCTGCCTCGGGAGCTGGTCTGGCTCAACGTAGCGCTGTCTTAGGAGCCGTGGCTCCATCCCCAGCAGAGTCCTGGGCGTGGGCCGAGGGGAAGTGAGAACACGCGTCCACGCACACACGCACACGCGTGTTCACGAGGGCGGACAAAGAGCGGAAACGACCCACGGGTCTGCCGGGGGGTGAGTGGTGCGGTACGTCCACGGAACGGAACGTTACCGACCCGTGAAAAGGAGGGACGCGCCACAACACGCGTGAGCCGTGAGTGAGAGATGCCGGGCGCAGAGGACGGGGGCTGTGTGAGTCCGTGTCCACGAGTGTCCGGGCGGGCAAGTCTCCAGAGCGAGAGGGCAAGGAGCGGGGGGTGATCAGCAGCTCAGGGTTCTTCTCAG